ATCCTATGGCACTACAGCTGTAGGACACGAGGCGCCAAAACTGGTGGAGCAACTCATGCACTGTGGCGAGCCTGAAAAAAGCAGCGTGTGTTTTGGGGAGGGTTTAGGGTTTTAGGGCAGGGCCTGACGCTTCGAGTGCCTGTGAGAGGGAGAGCGGGCAGGGCCTACCGTCTGAAAATCCTTGTGCCTTAAACCCGAAAGCCCCAACCGAAGCCTTCAACCTGAAACCCTGCACCCCTAAAACCCTCAACCCAAAAGCTAGGCCCTACAGCTCCGAGGCCCTCGAGACGGAAGCCTAAACCTGCAACCCTCCAGCAGCAAACTTCGAGCTGCGGCTCGGGCCGAGGCAGGCCCAGGCTAGGAAATTTTCTAGTCGAGGCAGGCCCGGGCCTGTGCCGGCCTTGAAATTTTTTGGGGCCGGCTCCGCCCGGCCTGGGGCCGGCTCCGCCGGCAGCGGTAGTTTAGCGGTAATTTCGACGAAACTACCATTCCTAATGCGGTAGTTTAGCGGTAATTACTACTGAACTACCAGTAGTTTCTGTGGTAGTTTCGACTCTGGTAGCGGTAGTTTCGTGGTAATTTCAATTCCCTCAGCGGTAGTTTCGCGGTAATTTCCACTGCAGAATGGTAGTTTCCATGCCGTACTGCTACCGTACTACTACTGTACTACTACTATAATAATACTACTACTACTACTACTACTGTACTACTACTGTACTACTACTGTACTACTACTGTACTACTACTGTACTACTACTGCACTACTACTGCACTACTACTGCACTACTACTGTACTACTACTGCACTACTACTACTGTACTACTACTGTACTACTACTGTACTACTACTACTACTACTACTACTACTACTACTACTACTACTACTACTACTACTACTACTACTACTACTACTACTACTACTACTACTACTACTACTACTACTACTACTACTGTACTACTATTGTACTACTACTGTACTATTACTACTACTACTACTACTACTACTACTACTACTACTACTACTACTACTACTACTACTACTACTACTACTACTACTACTACTAGTGCTACTACTACTGTAGCATTACTCTATGGGCAGCGGTAGTTTCGTGGTAGTTTCGATTCTGGCAGCGGTAGTTTCATGGTAATTTCGATTCTGGCAGCGGTAGTTTCGTGGTAATTTCGATTCTGGTAGCGGTAGTTTAGCGGTAGTTTAGTGGTAATTTCGATTCTGGTAGCGGTAGTTTAGCGGTAGTTTCGTGGTAATTTCGATTCCCCTAAGCGGTAGTTTCGCGGTAATTTCGACTAAACTACCACTGCCTTTGCGGTAGTTTCGCGGTAATTTCGACAAAACTACTATAGGGTTTGCTGCTCGGGCCGGAAATTTTTGGCTCCAGGGTAGCCGGCAACTGACCCGCCAACAGCCAGCACTTGGCGTCGGAGCTCCTTTCCAGTCTCGGCCATGAAGAGGCCGGCGGCTCGAAGCTCTGCGCCGGCTGTCAAAAAGAAGCCTGCGACTCCGACGGCTCGTGCTCAAGGCTCGCGCCCGGACAAGGAACCAGGGACCACTCGTGCCCCCAGCTCACCGAAGCCTGCGAAGACAGCAGCCGAGAAGACACCGGAAGAGTCACAAGAAGAGTTGCTGCAACAAAGACCCAGGGAAAGCTTGGGCGCTTCACCCTCTGACTCAGTGCTTGGCAACTGCGAAGTCTCTTCCGAAGCAGAAGCTCTTGATTGCTCCAGCAGGTATGCTTCTGGATTGGGATAGCTTTTCTTCAGAGAAGAAGCTCAGAATCTTGAAAGAGCATGCTTGCAGACAGCCGCCAGACTGGCTTCCGACCCCAGACTGGCTCAAGAGCAGCCCTGAAGAGCAGCAACAAGGCGATTGACGAGGACAGCAGCCGCGGAAAAAGAAGCGAGACTGTCGCCCTCGTTTAGAACACGAGCACCGTCTCTTCAAAACGAGAAGCTCCGGATACCCCCTGAAGCCCAAACGATTGCGGCCGTTCCAGCTGAAGCAGTGCCTTTCTCTACCAGAACAGTTTGTTGATTGGAACGTCTAGCGTGTTGACAAAGCATAGTGTAATCAGACAAATGACTTGACACCTTTGGCTTTCTCAGAGCCATGCAGGCGGTCCTTGAAGGCCACAGTCCCAAGTGAGTCGTGTAGCCGGGGTCGTGCATGTAGTAGACCTCCAAGACCCGATGGAGGATGCAAGCGCAAAAACAGTTCTGCTGCTTATCGTCCACCTGGTGATGCCTTGATTGGCGCCATTCCGCAGCAGTTTTGTTCCAGTGTTCCCTCCCCCCCGCTGCTGTCTTAGACAGCATGGATCGTGATCGCTCGCGGTCGCCCTCTGCGAGGGCGACAGAGTGGAGATGGTGCTGGATGCACTCGCTGGACACTCTCGGCCGTTCGCATCTTGCTTGAAGCCCGAAACCCTCAACGTAGTTACTTTTTTCCTGAACCCCGCTGAGGATATGGTGGTGGCAGTGGTGGCCACACGGCCGCGTTGTCACCAGAGATCGTGACTCTCAAGGAAACATCACAGAGTCGGAACCGCGAGGAACCAAGCGACGCCTGGAAGAGTGAGCCGAGTGCTTTTGAAGCGTTTCGATGCCTTTGCCACCATTCACGGTGGACCCGGCGGGGCTGCAAGAGGAGTGAGTCTGAGTGAATCCTGCCTCTGACACGGCGTTGGAAATGCTTCAGAATTGGCTTTCGCCACTTTAGTGGGACTGCATGAGGATCCGAGCTTTTGTTGGAAAAGAAAGGAGACCAATTTGTTTGCTGACCCTGTGCAGGTTCAGAAATCCGACCTGGCTTCTGGGTACTCTATACACATGCGGCCGTTTGTTGCGAGTCTGCGTTGACAGCTTCTGGTTCAAGCTTGCAGCTGTAATTGAGAGCCCAGGTCATGAGCAAACGCCATATGGAGTTATATACTACAGTCTTCGTGTCATCTTTTCAGCTTCCACTCCTAACTCGTAAACCCGCGGCTCTGCAAGCATGCAATGAGCGAGAAAAAAATCCAAGCAGTCCGACCAAGTTCGGCGGAGTCTCAGCTACTTCATGCTGAGATTGCGGAGGGTGGCCTGCGACTGTCAGGCAAGTGAGCCTGGGTCTTTCCCAGATCAGCAAGCCCGGGCTGAGCTTAGAAGACTCGGGTGCCGAAGCAGTGCAGCCGACTGCACTCCTGGCTGACTGGGAATCTCAAGCCCGGCCGCCATTGGAGGTTGAACAAAAGATCGAAGGAAACTTCAGCACAGCCGCTGAGCATGGTGCTCCGGCGGGGCGAGTGCACCCAATGCCCCAAGCTCCGGTTCAATGCCTTCGGGGCCTGGGTGCTTCATGCAGAATGCAACCAACGGGCTTTGGAAGCTGCCTTTGCTACAAACCCGGCCAGACCCATATCAAAGGAGCAGCGTCTTGGAGGCTTGCAAGGCTCGGCCCCATTGAAGCGGTCAAGCATGAAGCATCCAGCTGCTGCCCTGCCTGTGCTGCAGTTGTCGTCCATGCTGCGACTGCCATCCCTGCTGCAGTGCCGAAGGAAGGTGATCCTTAGGAGCTGCACAAGTGCGGCTGCAGCAAGTGCCGCAGTCTCGTGTGATCGCTGATCGTGGTCACAATCGTTATGTCCGAACAGAGGACGGTAAGATTTACCAAAAGAAACCTTGAAGCACTCGTCTTGCGACTGCGTGAAAAAAGGGTTCGCACCGGGGTTCAAGGGTTTACCTTGGGGCTTGAGCTCTTATTTTAACTATTAAAAATTGTTAATTTTTAACTATTCCATAGTTAATCTTTTAACTATAGGCAATAGTTAAAAATAGCCTATTGCCCTATAAATAGTTAATTATTGCCTATAGGTTGTAAATTGCCTATTCGGAGCCTAGGGGTAGCCAGCAATTGCCATCGATGAAGCGATGGCAGGCACTGATCCCTGCATCAATATCCTCATGCCACGCGGCATAGATAGTCTTGTCCAGGATCTTGATATTCATTGCCAATGCACGAGCTGTCCTAGGATACTTGACGACTTTGGTACACCGATAACCGTATTACTGAATTTACTATGAACTGCATATGGAGCGTCGTAAGACCAGGCGCATTGACAGCACGTACCCAGACCCCCGGGCGGATCTACATTTTGGATCCACCTTAGTGCGCGGATCCAGTTTTTAACAGGGGGTTCTAGATTTTGTTGTGTCACGCGAAATGCGAGTTTTTGGCAGATCTTGGATAACAGTATACACGACGGCTCTGCACGCCAAACGTCTGTCAGTTGGCTCAAAGATTGTGGCAAAAGAAGAAGAAGCCTAAGGCCCTAAATATGAAACCTTTACAGACCTCGCCCTAAAACCTGTAGTGTGTTGGAAGGAACACCTCGAAACTCACGAAAACCATAAAACAGGAGGAGTCGTGAACATAACTCTAAGAATAATGCATATACTGCGAAGGAACACCGGAAATATCGAATGGCTGTGCAGCCTCGTCCTGTGTTGAAGCCGTAAATCACATAGTCCGTCGTCGTCGTCGTCGTCGGCCGTTGTTAGTCCGTCGTCCGTCCGTTGTGGTTTTGCGATGAAAACTCGCTCCGGCAACCGCTCGATATCTGGCTGGCTGGCGAGGGTCGACTGTGGCTTTCTTTTGTGGGTGAAGGGCGAAGGGTATATAGGTTAAGCTTGCCTTTGCGACCGTACCAGCCTAATTTAAAGACACTAACATTATATATGCGCCGTATATTGTACTTACTTACTGGATGTGGGTCTCGGATGTGAGGGTTTAGACAGCTAATTGAATGGATACGCCCCCGAACCTAAAGCCTGAACCCTAAACCCTAGGACCCTTTAATGTCGGAGCTTGTCGAGGTCGGCCAGGTCCACTTGAAGTCAACTGGGCTCGTCTCTGGGGCGGCGGGCTTCAGGGCCACGTTCGCGGGTTTGAGGGCTCAGGGTTGAGAAGTTTCAGTGTTCAGACTTCAGGGCCCGCTTAGTGCTGCCATGCCTCCGAAGAAGCGGCCTGCTTCCGCGATGGCGGGTGATGATGAAGAAGAGCCTCGGAAGAGTCGGAAGGGGTTCAAGGAATGGCACAAGCTGCGAGATGCTCTGTTGCCCTTCATAGACAAGCGGTTTTTTGCTTCGTACCACACGGATCGTGCAATCGCGAAGATCGACAAGAAGAAGCTGTGCTCTCCGTTCTTTGTGATCAAAGTATACAGTACAGGCTTGTTTTGTTATAAAGCTTATTCTGTAGATAGTGGCTGGGTTTTGTGCTGCTAGAGTGCACTCGAATCAAGGCTCTTCCAGGGCATCTTGAACAACTGCAGACAGTTGAGTCCTACGTGGAACTTTCCGGATACCGTCATCAAGAAAGCCTTGCTAGGGGTGCTAAAGCACGAGGACAACATCTACTGTTGGGTTTTTTTGGTATTGATCCTATCGGTCTCTCTCTCTCTCTCTCTACATGTGCACACCTTACTTCTATCTACTGTTATTGTCCGCATGCGAGAGGACAAAGCACGTTTGGCAGAGCAGATTAAAGAAGCCGATCGGGATGCATGGTCAACAACCAATTCCTTACGACTCAGTGCTGCTTTCCGACACTACTCGCAAGCCACCCTTCGCCAAAGAGAATGGGTTCCAAAGGCTGGGGTTGAGGGAGGCCAACCAAATTTAGTTGGGCATTAGCTATATTCATTAGGGCCCTTCCGTTCAGGCACACAAACCTCTCAGAAGATTGGCTTCAGATGAGCCCACGGACTCAGACGGGTTACTGGCAAGCAGCGAGATCAGAGCCGTGCGCCACCGAAGGCACAGCCGAAGGCACAGCCGAAGGCAGAGAGCCGCAGGATGAGGTGGCCTGTGAAGACATGGACGGGGAACACGGAGCAGATGATGTTAGCGGCAGTGATGACTCCAGCTCAAGCAGCAGCAGCAGCAGTGACAGCAGCACCAGCACCAATAAGATGTCTGGCCCGGAAGCCGACAGTCAGCCCGACCATGAGCCCGAGAAGGAGCCTGCAGACAACGAGCCCGCAGATAATGAGCCCGCAGACAATGAGCCCCCGCCAAAAGTACAGGCAAGCAGCAGCAGCAGCAGCTCAAACGCACAGCATGGTCTGTCTGACCTTTGGATGATTTCTTATAGCTAGATCCTCTTATATATATGCTTCCTATTACTGTTGCATATAGTTAGCAGCCGATTCTTGAACTTTGGAACCATCCTTGTAACAAACGTTGCATCTGATCCTAGTGGCACTGCAGTCCCATCAACTCTAGAAGTTGAGATACATTATATTCCAGTCTTGTGGCAGCTGCATCATCGCGATCCCGCCCAGGAAACAGCGGCGGCTTTCCTGGCCAACGATTGGTTCTTGAACACGCTGGATGGGATGATGGGCGGCTTTGATCCATCGGCTAGTGGTGCGAGTTACTCGGCTTTCCTTTGGAGTCGGCTTGGGATCCTTTAATTCGGATTGGAACTAAGCTATGGTTTCCCCAATAGGTTTCGTGTGCCTGTGCTGGGCTCATTGATCCAGGTTTGGGTGGGTCGCTTGCCTGTGGAGGGCTTCAAGTGCTTCAAACTCCGAAGGTTTTGTTGCTCTGCAGGGCCACGTAGCAACCCCTGGGTTTAGTCCTGGTGTAGATAAAGAGACGATAGGGATATCTAGCCATGTTCGGATGCGGCGAGCTTCTGTGATGGCATCAAGAGATTCGGGCGAATCTCTCGACGATGAAGAGGCCTGGCTACAGGAGTTGTTGGCCCATGGACGACAGAAACGCAGACTAAGACCCTTCGATCTACACCAGTCTTATGTTTCTGAGAATACTGTCTACTTGTTTACAGTGTGCGAAATACTAACTAAAGTATTCCTTGTGCTGCTTGGCCTCTGCAGCCTCCATCGAAGGACTGGTTGCGCCGCCAGACCATGACTAGTGCCCATAGCACCATATCCTCGAGCTTGCTTATTGGAGAAGACAGCATCTGGTGTGCGACATGTTTCAGACAACTATTGGAAGCTGAAAGTGCCGAAGCACTTGGCCGAGCTGCCTCGGATGAAAGGGGTCATCCAAGACATTATGGCTCAACCTGCTTTAAAACTGGACTTATTGCCGTCTCAAACACTTGCTTCCAACATCCTGCAACGAGCTCATACCGTCATACGTGGACTCCGTGACAATTGCAGTTTCAAGATCGGCTTGACTTCCAGCCCTTCGCACCGGTGGTGCAACGAAGATTATGGGTATCAGCACTCTTCAAAGCCTGCATGGGCTGAGATGCGGATTCTGGGTATTTTGGCATCTGCCGAAGCCGCCGGTTTTTTAGAAGCTGCTCTTATTGACCGGTGGCAATTGGACTCTCGATGCTTGAACTCTGCAAGCGGAGGCGAAGGGTTATCTTGCCAGGAAGGCCCCTGGTGTGTCTACGTCGTGGTGTCGAAAAGGTGATGCCAGACGGATGGAACCGGCCCGACGCAAGCTGAAAAAGGCGTCTTCGAAATCAAACTTTTAGGCCCTCTATTGATACCCCTACATTAAGGCCCAAAACCCGAACGAAACGAAGCCCCACAAATTAAGCCCCCATTCAGAACCTTCGAAATCAGCAATAATAATAATAAAGCAACACTATGACAATCATAATAAAACTAGCAATCAGGTGATTATATAGAACAACACCAAAAAGCCCGGCCCATCCATCAGCTTAATTCTATATCGCTATGTTCATCCGATAAATGATAACGATGTACGAGAAGCCATTACTCCTTCCAAGGCTACCTTTCGCCGACTCCTGGTCCAAGTCGACGCCGAGAGACGCAGCTGCTGGAGAGCCCAACCGTCGAGGAGCCGCCTCGGAACAAACGAAAAGCCGACGAAGAAGCAAAGCCCGAGAACAACAACAGAAAACCTTGTCTGAAGAAGATGAGCGCTTTTGTGGACGAGAAGGACAAAGACGCCGAGCAAGTGGGACTACGAGATGCAACGTGCCTGCCTCGAAAGCCAGACCGGCCCGGTGTTTTCTTCGAAGCCCTTTGTGAAAGAGGATGAGGTTTTCGTTCAATTCTCCGATGGTCTTATGTGGTCGGTTCCGCACCTCGTGCCTGCAGACCTAGAGAGTGGTCTTGGTTTGCCGGCCCCGACTGTCCCCCAGCAGAAGCCCAAGCCGACAGCCAGCAAGCGCAAACCGAAGGCCGACAAACCTATCGAGGACTATGTGTACTCGATAATCCGCTGCAAGTACTGCACGCAAGGCTCCAAGAACCCCCTGATCAAGGTCGAGGCTCGCGAGGATCGCCACGATGCCTCGAGCAAGTGGATTCAGAAGCTCCAGCTGGTCATCCGGACCGGCCTCAGTGTGAGGAAAGCGATGCACATCGCCATGACCTTCGCCGATTGCTATGTGTACATGAACTTGAATCCGGCGGAGATCAACTACAAAGGCTGTCGAGATGATCTATTGGCTCACAACCACGATTGGGAAGCTTCAGCTTTGGATTGGCAAACTGTCATTTCGCTTCGCTTGAAACACTTCCCGAGGTCGCAACTTGAATCGTCTTAATTAACCATGACTTGGTTGGATACATAGAAAGATCCTTTATTCAGACATATGTGTACATACACACACATACACACTTCGAAGCATGCATGCTGCACGCATATGTTAAAGAGCACACACATAGAGACAAGCTCACACCGACACACACCCACGAAACAGCACGCACAAGCACACATACACATATATGCCTTGCACTCATATCCACTCCCAGGCCGAAAGAGTCGCCTATCAAGATCGCGAAGCCCACGCAGACCCAGATCGTGGATGACCAGGCCAAGAACGAGCCGCAGGGAGATGATGATGATGATGATGATAATGCGGAGGGAGATGAAGAAGAAAATGGGGAGGATGACCCTGCAATAGATGCAGGTTTCTAGACACTCTTTGCATCTGCTGCTTTTGCTATGTACAACAGGAACTAACATCACCCTGAACCCTAAACTTCCGAAACCTTAATCCCCACAAACGCCACCTCTGCTCTGAACTCCATTAGAAACTAATACAACTCTGCTCGCTCAGGCTTCGCTGGGCTTGGCACGGCGGCTAGTGCTCTGCTTGGCCAGGAGAATGGGGATGATATGAGGTAGCGAAAAGGACCCAGAACTTTCCCGCAACCCCAAAAACCAAGGATACTTAGTCCCGAAAGACCCGAACACTCAAAGCCTTGACCCCGAGCCCGCATAAACAAGTTGCCCGTCGATCGCTTCGAAAGCATAGTGGCCGCCACGAGCAGCTTTCCTGAGGATTGTCGTGTTGGCTGAATCCCACAAACTTGATGATTAGTATAGCACCTGCGTACGACTGGTTTGGATGAGATCGGGGATCGTTGTAATTGCCTCGCTTATTGTGATCATAGCTATAGTCCTGTCCCCGCCTGGACCCCTGTAGGATTGCAACTGCATGTCCCGAAACCCACAACATTATGGAAACCGTGACTGCTTTGTTCCAGTGGATTCAGCGAGCTGTCCTCAGGTTTGGTGCAATAGTTTGCCACCGCAGACTACAGTCCTCGGGCCTCCAACTTGGGTAGGAGGTAGGATCTTTGGGGAGTATGGTACACATATACATATCTATGTATTAACTGTACTGAAACATTCGTCTGATAGGGTTTTAGTATCATCTAGTAGTTTGGGTGGCCTGGCTAGCTTCGAGGCATGATCAGATTTTCCTGGACGGCAGCCGCTAGGAGCTATAGCTGAGGATGGAGCTACTCTGGTTTTCGACCTCTAGCTACACGTGGGATTGTGGCCTTAAAACTTTATATCAGATGGTCGTTATTTGGACAGTACCAACCTCAACACCTGACCCCAACCTTGAGTCTCCACCGATGCAGCTCGATTCTGCCTGTCCGAATTGCAAAGCAATAACGCTGGATGGCTTCGAGGCTTCTGGGATACATGACTGTACGCAGACTGGTCTGATCTGTCATCCATCGAATATATATATATGTATCCAGCAGGTATTCTGCTGTGTGCTAAGCTGCTACACTGTCGCCGACAGTCAACAATGGTGAGAGTGCTAGCTACTATAGCTGCTTGTGTGTTATCGTACACTGTATATATATATATATACATATATATATAGTATATGCTTTACATGGCGAGACGTGGACATCTGTAGATGTACATATATATATATATATATAATCTACTAATAGGCTAATGTAGCATATACACCAGTCCATATCATTTAGATCTACCTACACAGCTTTCTCTTCCCTCTCATCCCTCTCTCTCTGTGTATATATAAACATATATATATACATATATGTAAGGCGAAGACCCAGAGGCCCAGAAGAACCTCATCCTCGCAAAACCCTCCCGCTTGAATGCCGTGCTCGCTTTATATTCCACCAGGCTCCAGAAAAGCTGGAGCCGCCAAGCCATCCGCAGATGATGTGCGAGCCACGTCGTAGTATGGATCCCTCGAAATCGATGTAAGCCTAGTCCCGATTTTGTAGAATTATATATATATATATATATATATGTATATATATATATAGTCGATATATATATATATATATATATATATAGAAGCGAGAGAACTATAGATCCTATATACATAATTAAAACCCGACCCGGATAATGTATGTGTGTACCCTCAACCCTCTTATTTCTGGATCCAGAATTGGACCCCCCCGAGGAATGTATCGCTTGCTATCCATTAATTATTATAATCCTCCTTAGTATAACCTTAACCCTAATCCCTACATTTCCAAGAATCCTCCCACACCTTATATATATATGTATGTATGTATGTATGTATGTATGTAAATATATATATATATATATATATAATAAAGCCTCGATCGGGGATCTGGAAACTATACGGGCTTGTATGTGTGTATATATATATATATGTTGATTGGTTACGATCGAACTAGATCCCGCAATCGAGCCCGCCTGCTGTTGTTTGGATCCAGAATTAGAGCCTCTCGTCTCTCATCCTTGCATTCTATTAACTGGATACCGCCTTTTTTATTGCCTTGGTACGGATATATATATATATATATATATATATATAGGTTTAAACTCAGAATCTGCACCCTTCCCTATATAGATATCAGATTGGCTGGCTATATAGGTATCCAGAATTAGATCCGTTCGCTCGTGGGCTATAATGGATCCACAATTAGATCCGTTAGCTACCTTCCTCGCAATCTATTAACTGGATACCACCTTTGATCTGAGCCCGACCGGCCCATGTAACCACAAACCATAACCCTAAGCCCTTCAGCCCTAAACCCTAAACTCTTTCTGTATGAGTATTTTACTAATAACCAATATATCGGTGAATCCAGATTTAGATACCCATGTAGGGGCTCTACTTTAAGGTTTGTGGGCTTCCATAGCCGACGCGAGGTGATTTTGACTTCATGATCTATGTGTTCGCAACAGCGGAAAACCGCAGAGTCTGCATGCTCGTCGAGTAGCAACGTACCAAGCCACTCATTGCTGCTGCTTATGCCAATAGGCAAGCTAGAGAGCTCCGGCAAAAGCAAAGCTGCACAATGAGGTGTCGAAGTAGATCCCCGATGAGCCCCCCAATGAGCCCCTCTAGGGTATGGTGGATGCTGTCGTGTCCTATAAGTAGGCAATGAACAGAATGAGGTATCAAACTGGATCCCCAATGAGCCCCCGAATGAGGTGTGATGAGGTGTCACGAGCCCAAAAAGTCCTGTATCGAACATATATTAGCTCATATATACTTATTATATTGAGATCAATCAGACCCTCTGGAGGCTCCACCTTGTCCTGTATGTATTGTATATGATATGCTGATGCATGCTGCTATGCCCCAGCTCGCAAGCTACGTATAGTGCAGAGATCGACAGGCTTCGGCAGATAGCTTCTAGCTATCATGGCTGAGTCACAGCCCCGCATCGACTCCATGGACGCCCGCGAAACCCTAATCCCAGACACCCTCGTCACCGATCGCCCAGAAGCTCCCGCAGACACGGCATCGGCACCAGACGCCGCCGGCTGTGACAACAATAATGAGCCAAGTGACGCCACCAACGGCGAGGAGCAGAAGCCAGCAGACGCCACCAGCGGCGAGCAGAAGCCAACAGACGCCGCCAACAACGAGGATAAGAAGCCACCGGCAATGGCCCCGGAATCTATTCATATCGCGATCGAGAACTATGCCAACAGCATCAACAGGGACCCCAAGGAGGTGACGTTATCCATGCTTGAGGCTACAAAGGAAGGCTCCCTCTACTGGGCCACGGTCAACACAGACATGTCGGCCCGTGGTGCCACGGCACAATCCATGGGCCGTGCCATCCGCTTCAAAACGGACGTGAAAACCCTTTATGGCCTACTCCTAGATTCCTACAAGCTCGAGTTTAGGAGGGCCTGGGCATGCTCCCGGGACTTTACCTTCGCCACGACTACCCGCAGCACCGTCAATACATTTCGCAAAAGAAAGGACGAGCTCGGCACCTACAAGACCTTCCTTGTCAGGTCCTAGGCGGGGTCGATGAACCCATCGCCGTGCAACAGGCGAAGAACTACACTCAGATGTGCTGCCGTGACGACCTCAAGGCCGAACCCAAATAATCAAGCCTAGCCTCGCACAAAGAACTCAAGACCCCCTCCCCACCCGGAAGCCTAGACTCTTAGACCTTATATATCTATATAGGAGCCGATTAGCATTGAAACGGCGCTAGACCCGGAGCCTAACAATAAGCCCTCAGCCCGACATTAAGGAGCTTCAGTTCCCACCCACTACACCCTCAAGGACCCTAGAATGTACAAATACACTATACCCTTCAACTTTCAAAATGTGTTCTAAGAAACCCAAAACCTACAACTGCCAATCAGGAACACTGTGTGGTCTACAACGCCTGACTGAAAGCTGACACATACCTGTGGGTGGAGCAGCTCCTGACCAGGAATGGACGAGTACTGTGACTGTCGAGGTCTCGGAGCCGGTTAAAGGCTCATGGTCTGAAAAGGTCCAGCTCTCGAAGGCTATGCGATGCTACGCGGCGGAGAACGGCAAGAGGTTGGTTGATGTGACCGAGACCGAAGTGAGGAACTCGGAGTTGGGTGTGCAAGGCTGGGCTGCTTTGTTCGAAAAGACTCCAGGAGCCCAGCCCAAGCCCGGCGGGGATGGCAGCAATGCCGGTGGGGGCAAGGGCGGCAAGAAGAGGGGTTTGGAGCCGAAGCCGATCGACACTGACCTCCCGCCGGCGCCTACTACCGAGAATCCTCCGAATCCGAGCAAGCGGCCAAGGGCGAGCAAGAAAGAGAAGGAGGTCAAAGAGCTCTTGCCCAGGAGCAAGCGAGCGACAATGCTATGAGCACGATCACGATCGAGTTGGGCAAGAGCGATCCCGCCGCACGGCAGTGGGCGTCTGGGTTCGTGAAGAGCTACAAGGAATGCCGGGTCGGGGTGCTCGAGCTCTACGCCGAGAACCCCTTCTTTCAGTCCATGAAGGTGGCTGTTCTCTCCGCGAAGGAGCTGCAGAAGGTGAAGAAGGAGTACAAGGATCAGTATTTGCCGAAGCTTTGCGACTTCGTGAGTATGTTGGGGCCGAAAATCTCTGCTATGGCAGAGGCTAGTGTACAGATACAACAGATGGCCTGTGCCAAGAAAAATGCTTCCGAGAGTGTCAAAGCTAGCCCTGCCCCCAAGGCAAAAGGCAAAACCAAAAAAGCCCTGGCCCAATCGGCCTCCACGAGAAGCATCGGCTCAGTGTGATCGCCGTGCCATGCCTTGGATTTTCGAAGCTTGCCGGGTAGTGCCACAAGCAGCTGCATAGAGGATTCGTATGGACGAGTTTTATTTAAGAATATGGGGCATGGGGCTTAGGGTTGAGATATGCTTTAAGGTTTTAGGTGCTTAGGCTCGGATCGTTTCACCCCTAGGACTACTAGTAAGGTCTAGATCGTCATGAGTATAGTTATATTAACAATCCGGAACCCCGAAACCCCCCACAAACTCCTAGTAAATATCCTGGTTTACGGTTGACATCTTACTGCTCGGGTTATTATAGTCCTAATCCAAACCTTCCCTGGTTTATCCTGAGGATCCTGGCTGCTGCTTGTGTGGGTTCGTTCTCACACAATGAAAAAGTTGTGCTGGGAGCGGTGCTGGGGAACAAAGTTCCGGGGCAACGCCGTTGAAAAGTTAGTTTCGATCTGTGAGTGACCATCATGCACACAGCGGTGCAAGCCGCACAATAATTGCATCGAGGTTTGGCTCATGTAGGAACCGGATACATTGGATACATGTACGTATGGTGAGGATGATAACTACTTTGTGCGGTCCAGTTTAGGGTTTACGATTTAGAGTGTTTAAGTTTGAGGTCAAGGGTTTTAGGTGTGGTGTTTCGGGAGCTCACACTCAAGGTGTACGTGTGGTTGAGGCTGGAAGGTTTAGGTTTAAGGCTTATTATAGAGCGGGCTAAATGCCCTGGGACGGAGTATGTGCATATATATTTGTATCGTAGCACGGTGGGGTGTCCATGGTCGATGAGCTTCAAACGTGCTCGTGCAGCAGACCAAACCCAAGGTTCCTGTTACTTTGGTCTCAATGAGTATGAAGACCCGTTGCCTAGTGAAGGCGGGGACATCGAGGCTGCTCAGAAGTTCCGACGTCTGCTGGTCGAGAGGTTATTGGATGGTTCTGCTACGGCAACCGACACTTGTCAGCTTGCTTACTGGCACGTGGCATCAGGGGGTGAGGGTGCTGAGGATCTGGCTTTGAACCCTCGGTCCGCTAGTCGTCACGCAGCTGAACATCTGAGGTCAGGGACTGTGTGCAAAACTCTGCAAAACCTGGAGAATGATATCCCTGAATCCTCTATCCGAATCTAACACTCCATTGATAAAGTCCCTGGTCCTTTCTCGTAATTTGCCCCAGGTGCCATCTGAGTAAAGAATTCCCGGAGCCTGATGTGGAAATGGTTTCAGTTCCGATGCATCTGAAGAAGTCTGCTGGAAGGACCCTCGTACAGCACCCCACCCGTGTGACTTCGATCATGATACGCAATGAGCTGAAGGAGCTTGGTATTCTTGAAGGCACAGCATCTCGTGAGATTGTGCAAGACTTCTTGAAACACGACGAGGAGCTAGGGGATCTATACGAACGCCATTGTGTCACGATCGAAGCTCTCCGCCAAGGTTTCTCGCGAGAACACATCGTTCCTCTATCGGTATATTTCGACGGGCTCCAGTATTCCAAGAACGAGAACTTTTTGGGGGTTTTATGTCACCAACTCACGCACAAAAAAGCCAAGGCTTGTTTGGTTGCTACGTACCCCGACAGCACATAGTAGATTTTATGTTATATTTGTCGCCTGTACATGCGCTTATGCATGTACGTGTATGTATATGCATATGTACAAGTACATGTGTATGTATATGTATGTTTGTACATAGCCCTGCTACTGAAACTTACGGTCTGGAGTGCGAAAGTCTATATGGGTATACGGATGTTGCTATGTGTGTGTGTGTGGGGGGTTTTTATTGTATATACATATATATATATATATATATGTATGTATGTGTGAATATAAACACCACCTACAGAAGTACATAGACTCGTGCGTTGGTTGTCCTACGTGTTCTGTATATAATGTAGGTTGTGTCCTGGCTGAAGCCAGTACATACCGCAGATGTGTTCACGACAAACACAGGATTATCAGAACTTTGTGGTTGTGGCTGCAGAGGCTGGTGTTCCGTGTTTCCATTATTGGAAGCTTTCAGGCGAGATTTGAGTGAACAACATCCGGATTTGAGATTGCCGATCATTGACTTCAAAGCTAACTGGGCTGCTTTGGTCGAGATAGCTGCTTTGAGAACGTGGTCCCATAATCATCATGCCTGTCCTTGTTGTCTGGTCAAGAAAGCACAGCTGCCAAACATTGATGGTTTCAGTGCGAGATCGTGCCCATTCCCGTTGTATGACAAAAGCAAGTACGAAGCTACTTTGTCGAAGAACTTCAAGGACCTTTGTTCTAAAACACTAGATAGCTTACAGGCTTCATGATGTTTTAGGTATTTTTCGCCACTCATAATTCGTTTGTGTCGGGTCGCTGGATTCCGCATAGCACCTTATGTTCACGTACGTCCTAATTAATATGTCTATGTAGTCGTCAACAACGGAGGAGGTCACGATTCCGGATGTGGATGTTCAACAGCAGATCTCGAAGCTGTTGCACTATCGAAAAAAAGGCCGTGGCCGCGGACGCTGCTTGCTGAAAGCATTCCAACAGCTAGGGCTTCCGAAAATGGCTAGATTGGAGCCTTCTACACTGTTGCCAGATGTGGGGTCCTTCGAGCAGCAGCAGTGTCCATTCAGTTGCATCTTTTATGTGGCTGGTGAACACGGCCGTGTGTTGCACGTGTCTCCGCTTTTGCAAATCCCTGGAGTCAGCTTGAGTTCTTGGTGCATCGACTTGCTACATACGTGGCATTATGGACCCATGTCTACTTATCTGACATTTGCTCTTCGTGCTTTGCTGAGCACAGAGATCTACAAGCCTGGCAATTCAGCGGTTCTAGACAAAGAAGAAAATGACAAGCTTTCTTTGATGGCCCTCAAAGCGGAATTGTGGATGTTCTACAAGCACAGACGTGCCACAGACAAGGAGTGGAGCAAGAAAGGTTCTGAGGTGGGGAGGAAAAGGATGATACAAGAATAATGATATAGTCGTGATTCTAAGCTTTGATGAGTAGTTTATGTGGTGCCCGAAGACCCGAAGGCTTATATCGGTCATTAAAGTTTAAACTACAACAAACTTAAGTGACTCTGTTAGAGGTAAACATCGCCAAATAACGAAATAGCCAGCATAGGCTGCTATTTAGTATTCGGGTTTTTGGGATAGCTGGACTAGAGATCGAGGGATGTTTGTCCGGAGCCCAAATACAGTAGAAGCCGAAAAGTTGGAAACCCAATAGCCTCAATCCTTAAGACTAATGTATAAGGAATCCCAGCACTATTTGGCCTTAATCAGGTTTCCAACTTTATGGGGCTCACAGTAGTTTGCTAGTGAATAATTAGTGTAAAACTTGGTAGCCCTTTGGCCAAGGGCGAAAATTATTTATGGATGGGGCCGTTGGCATGCGACAAGGATCATTCATGTCAATCGCACCTTTTCGGATCTGCTTGCGACTTTGAGTGGCAGTGGCTACTTGCGACTACGACTGGCGACTACAACTGACTGATTGGCAGTGGAATGTGATAAATGTTCGACGAGCTATGCAATATTTCTGCTTGGTGCATTAACACTTCAAAGAGCCACAGCCAAAAAAGACTGCGACTTCAGCGGCCGGTTGTCAGGGTGGCAGAGGACCAGCCTGCCGGTCGGGATCATAGATTCTCATAGATGGTGTTTTGCGACTCAAGGCACTCAACTTTAATCTGGCCTCTTCGTGGGACACGAGGTGCGACTCCCTGTAGGAACCATTCGCAGCCTGACAGTTCAACAAACGAGCAATGGACAATGGTTCCAACAATAGGGTCCCTGCCTGCAGCGGGTGGCCTTCGAAGTCAAGACGACCCGACCTCGATCCACAACTGCAGGCAATCAACTCAGTGCAATGGCAAGCTTCGGAACAGCAGTGGCAGTGTTTTACGACTGTATGAACGTAACGACTGGCTTCTGAGTGTTGCTTTGCAACAGTCGACTTTAGGATGGACAGTACCCACGGGCTGGTTCACGACTGCAAACTAAGAAACGGTCGTCTAAGTTTACTACGACTATTGTTGACTATTTCTTGGACTTGCTGCACATACCAGCCAGTGGGGCCGACTACTGCAGTTGCCTCTGACCCCAACAACCGCAATCATGAGCTCGACTGTTGGAGCTCACTCGTTCCCCAAAAACCTACAAGATACGCCCTCTGTACTCTGAGCGATGACGACTGCAGCAGCCACAAAGCGAACGAGGTCGCTGCTGTCGTTGAGAGTCACCGACTTCGAGCTCCAACTGAAAGGCCGGCGAGAAGGCGCCGGAGCGCCCTCGAGGATTGTCCACTTCGACTCGGGCAGACGAGCGATGTGCTTCAGCTGCTGCACGACGGCTTTGTGTTTCTCGTCGAAACGACTGGTCAAAGAAATGACCCTAACTTGGCCGGTGCGACTGCTCGGCAGATACGTCTTGGCACCCAACCCACGAGTCATGTCTGTCTTCCGCACCACTGTTGCACCCAAAGCGACGACTGGGAGCTCCAAGAGTCCGAGCGACTTTCGGGTAAACTCCAGGTGCTTGTCGACTATGATGCACGTTGGGGTGCCCAGTGCAAGCATCTTCACCAAAGCCATTGCCGTGAGGGATGCACAACTCTGGATGAAGCAGCTGCTGCTGGCGACTCTCTGCACTGGCAGGGCCTCGTCGCAGGCGTTGAGAATGCGACTGAACTTGGTGTGCCTGAACTCTCTGGCCTGCTCGACTTGCGACTGTGTCGTCGGCGCTGGTGCGATCGACCGTCCCGGTCGTTCAGCAGGCTTGTCGTAGGCCTGCTTGCCGACTGAACGCAAGTGCTTCTGCTTCTGGCTTTGGGCGACTTTTCTTTTTGTGTTTTTGTCGAAATCGCGAAGCGCCTTGCTCCATGCCGACTCGTCGTCCATGTCCTGCATCGCAGCACGGAGGTCGCCTACGGAGCCTCCGAATATGGAGGGCGCTTGCCCTCCACGCTCCTTGGCACGTTCTAGCAGCTCTTGAGCTGCTCTGTCTCGACTGCGTTTCAAGGCCACCTTCGTGTTCGACTTCTTGACCCTTTCGACTCCGGCGTCTTTGCGACTCTTGTGCAGGCAAAACCGCCTGCCGTGAGTCTCAACCCAAGCTTCTTGCCACTGGCGACTGAGAGCCGTCAGGCCCCAGGAGATATCGCCGTCCTCGATCAAAAACAAAGAATCAAATGTGGTGTCTGGATGCCGGACAAATTATTGCCGCCAAGCATCGTGTAGGCTCTGCTGGACTTCAGTCTCCAGGCACCAATCTACTTGCGATTTTTGGCTTTGGTTTAGTGGTCTTGGGTTGTCATGAACCATAAATGGTTCTATTAGTCAGGAAAACGCGAGAATGCATTTTCCCAGGCCTGAGTAATGCATTTGGTGGTGCTGCAAGCATTATTCTGCCGTGCTCTCAGCCGGCTCGCTTGGTATTTTACAGTAGAAAACCATTGACAAATAGCACACAAAACCCATGGGTTTTTTGGTATTTGCAACAGAAAAACACTTGAAAATAGCAGAAAACCAATGGTTTTTTGTGTTTGCAATTGAAAACCACTGCAAACAGCAAAAAACTTATGTGCTTTGAATTCAAAACCATTGAAAATAGCAAAAAACCTGTGTTTTCTTTAGTATTTTCAATGGAAAACCATTCAAAATAGCACAAAACCTATGTTTTTCTGCATTTGCCATTGAAAATCATTGAAAATAACAAAAAACCTATGTGTTTTTTTGCTATGTTCAACGGAAAACCATTGAAAATAGAAAAAAGCAATTATGTTCTTGGACGGGGGTGTGCGGGAGCCAACCCCGCCTTGGCTGCAGCAGTTGCGAAAAAGTTTGGGCGGACTGTCGTGATCTACCACTATAGCATGTGTCTCTCCTGTCTTCACGTCCATACTGTTTGGGGTCTTAGCCGGCACTAATTTAATTGTTAGAGGGTTCGGGATTTACGGTTTCAAAACCAGGACTGCTTTTCGGGGAGGCGCACATCTTGGGCGAGGCCGAGTGTGGTTCCAGGACGATGGTGCAAGTCGCGACAGACAACGTGATGAATATGCCTGCCCTTCGATATGGAGTGGCTCCGGGGTTGCGCGAGAAGGTCTTCTGGCATGCGAAGGCGAAGGAAGAGGCGGTTAGCGTCATGGAGGAGATGTCGTTGTGCTGGCAGTTGGCCGACAAGCGCTTAAGGGCCGAGTTCGACCCGCAGTCGTTGCCCGCAGCTCAGTGAGTCGTCATCGCTCTGTTCCATAATTTGGTCTACGGTTGTAGGTTACCTGGATCCTTTGAAGAGCGTGACGTTGTGCCTTGAAGTCGAAATGTCGAGTCGGTCCTTAAACAGTCGTCGACGTTCTCGTCATAAGTTTCATCCAGAAAAGTACTGGCCGATGCCTTTAATAAAGACGATGCCTCAACCTCTTAGAGCTGATCCCGAAACAAAATTTGGTTGGGACATACATGACCAAGGCTTCTGGCCTTTAGATGCTTCGACCTGCCAACGTGGCTGAAGACTCTCCCGCAGACCGAGTCGGCCGAGCACTTGACAAACTCGCTGCGAATGTGTACCCGCCGCGTGTGCAACGCCTACGAAAAGTCGCAGTCGACCGGCATGGAACTTAGGCAGCAAGATACTATTTAAAACAACTGTGTCAGTCCAATAATAATATCTGGTCCAGCCCAACCTGGCTGAGGACAGTCGTCTCGTTGCTGAGCGCTTGGAGCATGCTGCCCTTTGCCTTGCCAAGAAGCACAGAGCCGAGATCCAGTCGGTTAAAGTCGGCATGTTCAACAACCTGGATGCATGGAGTTGTTTGCCTCAGTATCGAGAAGCACACAATTGCATAAGCATCCGTAACAAGCCAGACTCGTTTATGATTCATGACAACCCAAGACCACTAAACCAAAGCCAAAAATCGAAAGTAGATTGGTGCTGGAGACTGACCACAATTGCATAAGCATCCGTGACAAGCCAGATGCGTTTTTCAGGGCTGGAAAAATGCATTTGCCTGTGGCTATCGACCGACGGCTAGGTTGGGCTCTGGTCGGTCTCGCAGAATCTAAGGCTCTGTGCGATATTATTATTAAGGAAAGCCATAGAAACACAAGAGCATTTTCGAAAATCAAACGAGCATTTGGCCGTTTCCGACAAGCCCACAGCAAAGAGACACATGCCCATGCATTTTAGGGGGCTGGAAAATGCATTCGGATAGCTCTCCTTGCAAATTTAAAGCAGATCTCGTGCTGTGTCGAAGCAAAAGAAGAGGCTATGGGTCTTGCAAAGCACATCCAAATGCGATTATCGAAGCTGCGAAAATGATGGTTTTCAATTGGAAATACACAAAAACACATGGTTTTTACGGTTTTCCATTGGAAATACCAAAAAATAAATGGGTTGTTTTGCTATTTTCAACGGTTTAGAGTTAAAAAGACATAGGTTTTTTGCTATTTTCAATGGTTGTGAATTCTAAACACCAAAAAACCATGGTTTTCTGTTATTTTCCATTGTTTTCTGTTGCAAACACCAAAAAAACCCATGGGTTTCGTTGCATTTTTCAATGGTTCGCTACTGTAAAAATAGCAAGATAGCCGGCTGAGAGCACGGCAGAATAATGCTTGCAGCACCACCAAATGCATTACTCAGGCCTGGGAAAATGGATTCTCGTGCTTTGCTGACTAATAGAATCGTATATGGATCAAAACAACCCAAGACCACGAAACCAAAGCCAAACATCGAAAGTAGATTGCTGCCTGGAGACTGACCACTACTGCAAAAGCATCCGTGACAAGCCAGATGCGTTTTTCAGGCCTGGAAAAATGCATTTGCCTGTGGCTTTCCGCCGACGGCTAAGTGAGGCTCTTTCGGTTTCGCGGAATCTAAGGCTTCATGCGATATTAAGGAAAGCCATAGAAATTCAAGAAAGAGCATTTTCGAAAATGAAATGAGCATTTTGACCGTTTCCGACAAGCCCA